GCATTGTACTGTCTCATGTATTGTCTCCCATTGTAATGTACAGCTCTGAGCAAACTGTTGGCGCTATATAAATACTGTATAATAATAATAATACCATGTGATTTGATGCCTGCAAACACCCGCATGCACCTGTGTGCCTTGGCACCAGCATGCAGACAGCAAGGGCAGTGTGTTCACCTGCGGTGTGGGAAAGGTGCATAGAATGCACCTTTCCCACACAACATTCTGGTGTGACCTGACCCTGACTGGTTTTCAGTTTTTTTGCCTTCTCCTTAAAGTGACACTAAACAATACCCATATGTTCTAAATCCATACACATCTGCTACTTAAGGGCCTTGTAAACTATTTTTCATGAACTTATTTCTTACTATGTTTTGCTGCCATCTTGAAACATCCTCTGTTAGATTTTGAACTTTCTCTTTTGCCCCTCACTTCCATTTCTTTGGAACAAGCAGCGAACATTAGTTGAAGTCATGTGCTTTGCTCTATACAGACTACACATCCCATAGTTCATGGTCCATCTTGGGGGCAAGCAAGAGAGGGTGGCTACATTCCGACATACAGTGGGACCATGGAGAGTCAGTGTAGCCACCCTCTAACAGGAAGTCAGATCACAGCAGCAAAAATAAAAAAATAAAAGTACTTTTTTAAATAAGCCCTGGTTCACAATGGATGCGACTCAGCATGCAATTAGCATGCCCTGGGACTTGCAAATTGCATGCCAAGTCGCACCCTATTGTCCGCAATTGGAGCGGTCATATCGGTGCAGTTCTGACTTGGTTGGAGCTGCACCGATTTTAAAAGTAGTACATGCACTACTTTTGGTGCGATTTGCATAGACATCTGTATCAGATGTCTTGCAAATCGCACCTGAAATCAGCCGGTCCCTCGACTTTGAAATCGTACGACTTCACTGTATGTCGCACAAATTCAAAGTCGGGTTTGATGTGAATGGAGGGTAAAGGATAAGTTCACCTTTGTTTACATTTTATTTTCTAATTTCCAGGTCCAGAACTGTGGAATAGGAGGACCCACCTATCTACCTATTCACTCTGTATCCAATCAGGCAGGCCCTTGCACTGCATAGCTGATGACAGATCTAAAGAAGATTGTACAATCAGATGGTGAACTTTACGGAACCCAGAACACAATTCTTGTGTTTTCAATACTACAACTCTATCCACATAGGCTGTTATCTGCTTGCTCAGCACATACTGCCAAATGAATGATCTATGCAAGATGAATGTTAAGGTAGAGAAAAACAAAAAATTGATGCCTGTGTACTTAGTGAGAACAGTGATCACTGACTCATTGCATTTCATGTAATATTTGTGCACCTGGAAGGGGGTGGGAGGTAGGGGGGGTAGATGATGTACGGCGCTAATGAGGTCAGCTTGGCAATCTTCTTAGCTAGCCAACTCCTTCCTGTGTCATGACCTAAAGTCTCTGCAGGAAGTAAGGCAGAAGTAATGAAGAAGTTTTTTGTACATCCATCTGGACACTGACATTAAGGTGGGTAGAAAAATGGAAAGCTTTTGAATTTCTGCAAAAGAAATACATTACAGCTATATTGGTACATAGGGGACCTGGAATTCGGAAAAAGATGAACTTATCCTTTAAGTGCTGATTCACACATGTGTGGTGCAGATTGAAGCTACGATTTCACAGCTAATTGATACGGTAACTTGTAACGGAACCGAACCAGACTGCGTACAGATGGAGTACTTCCGTTAGAATACCGCTTTCCCGTCTGAACACCGACTACAGACACCACAGCCGACCATACAAGACTAGACAACACCAGCCTGTCTGAACATGGAACTCTTTATTTTAAACTCAAAAGGGCTTTTTATACAATACACACTGAGACTGATCACAGGATCATATGCAAACACAGCTATATACAGAAATAGACTTAACACTCTAAACAGTAAGTTAATTAGGTTAGCTAGCTGGGTGATCAAAACAAAAGGTGAATGGGAATTCACACCTAGACAATGGTTTGATGAATTAGGATCTCACTATAGTCCAGCTCCTTCAATTCACATGTCTAGTTCAGAATCAACAACCAGGAATAGTCTTCACATGGCTGATAAATATTACTGTCCCATCTGAGGTAGTTCCAACCGCATTCTCAGCGTCCATTAGTCACCCTGTGCCCCTAAGAGACACAGGGTGGCTTGCACATAAGAGGGATATGGGTAGCTGAGACAGGGGTCTCCCAACCTCTGCAAAGTAAGCTGGGTTCCATGGGCCCCCCACCTAAAGTGACTCCCGTCACATAGCTGTTCACAGGTTCACGTCAGGTTTACATCAGGTTCAGGACAGGATCAGCTCAGGATTTTATCCTGTTCACACATATCAGGTTTAGAAATGGTTCCCATAGAAGTCAATATTCTGTAATCCGCACCTGAACCAGACCGCACTGCTCAGAAATCAAACATGACTCTCTTTTTAAACTGCACTGAATCTGCACCACCAGTGCACTGTACATATGTGAACAGGCACCATAGGAAGCAATGTTATCTCACATGTCATGGAGATTGGATGCGGTTCAAACCACATTCAATCCGCCTATATGTGAACGGGCACCAAAAATACAAACTTGAATAAGTACTGTAATGTAATGTAACCTCTAAACAAAACTTCCTTCTGTTTACCCACTTTTTCTTGTTCCAAATTCCTACATTTGTGCTGACAGTTTCATGCCAAAGGATACTGAAACCGAACTGTCCCTTATGGAGCAGGTACCCAATGAAAACCATCACTAGTGTAGTTGAGAGTGGTTTTCAGCTCAATGGTCAACCATTCTCCTAGTGAAGGAAACCTTTGAGGGGAATAATGTTAATTATTAGTAAGCTGACAGATCACACTGCCCACCAGCTATTTACATGCATACTAAGCCAACTACATGAACAGACCAGTTGTTCCCAGAGTCAGTAGGCAGGGGGCCATAATTGACCAGAAAAAAAAAAATGCATTTACCGTTTACAGCACAGGTGTCAAACTGGCGTCCCTCCAGCTGAAACTACAAGTCCCATCATGCCTCTGCCTTTGGGAGTCATGCTTGTAACTGTCAATCTTGCAAAGCCTTATGGGACTTGTAGTTTGGCAACAGCTGGATGCCACCAGTTTGACACCCCTGGTCTACAGTATGTGAAAGACTGCTTTTCCTGGAAGTATGCACAAAGCTTAAAGTCACATTGCAGGCATCCCCTGCAACAGAAGTTTCAATTTTTGTGACATTATTTTTAAGACAAACACAGGTACATGGATACAGAGATTTCCCCTTTTCCTTTTTTTTAAGTACAGTGATAAAACCATTTAGCCATTAAATTCAAAATCATCAGGTTCTAATAGTGCATATGCTATGAAATATTAAATTCCATTCCTCTGCCTCTGACTACGTGGTTCTAAATTGCACATGATTTCCTCCACATAATTGTGTAATAAATTGTAAAATGACACTTACAATTTATATGGTCCATGTTGAGTTATTCTTGACATGATTTGTTACTTAATGGAAAGAGGAAAATGTCCCATATATTTATATATAATAGGAGTGGATTACAGATTCATGCCTGCAGTGACATCATTTGGATAAGGGATAGTTCATGTTTCACAAGATGTAACTCTAGATTAAATGGACTTTTTGACAATTTATGCCAGGGCTGTGTGCCTTTAATCTCTTTAATGATTTATATTCCATACAGACTTGTTTCTCGATGTTCCGCAGGTCATCATAAAACCACCTAATGACACGTAATGCTGTCCTAATGAATTTTATGTAAAGGACCTTTAAAGTATAATATTATATTGTATATTAGTGCGAATGTCAGGCAAAAGTATTCTGTAAAGTGGGAGTCTCCAAACTTTTTAGTATGAGGGCCTCATTGTATATTTTACATATGTTCAAAGGCCAAAAAAAATCAGTTTTATAAATGTATAAATGAACAAATCAAATTGAAATTAATGAATACATTAGAGGTGTTTTTTTTTTTTTTTTTTAATCATCATGATATGATTTAGAACACGTGTCAAACACAAGTCCAGAGGGCCAAATCGCACCTCTGCTGCAGCAACCCCTTTGTCTCTGCCCAAACCCTGTCTCAGCTGTCAGCAGCAGAGAGGACAGAACTCCTCTACCAGATCGTGCGCTTCTCTGTGCAGCTGCAGAGAGGCTCGTCTCTGCCCCACCCCATCTCAGCGGTCAGTGACAGAGAGGAGGACAGAACTACTCTTACAGATCCTGTGCCTCTCTGTGCAGCTGCAGCAGCTCCTCGTCTCCTACTCCCCTGGTCCCAGCATTCAGCTGACTCCTGCTCTCCTCTGATCCTCCTCCATACCCTGCATTTCTGCTTTCCAGCCCTGCCTCAGCTTCTATCCAACAGCAATACAAGGCTGGGGGGGGGGGTACTGTGATGCAACGGAGGGTGGGGGGCTCTTGACTTTTGATGGTGGGGGGTCTCTTGACATCTGATGTAAGGGAGGGGGGTGCTCTGCACATCTAGTCTTACAGATACAGCCGCAATTTGAGCGCGACCATAGTGCTGATGTGGCCCGCAATGAAATTGAGTTTGAAACACCTGATTTAGAACAACAGAAAAACATCAGTAAAATAAAGCAAGGAGATTACAAATAAACTTGAGCCATCAGTGTCCCCCCCCCCCTTTACATCAGAGTCCACATCGTAGTCCCTCCTTAAATGAGAGTGCCCATCAGGCCCACCTTACATCAGGGTCCACATTGGAGTCCCCCCTTACATGAAAGTCCCCATCAGAGCCCCCTTAGCGTCACGGCTCCTAACAGAGTCCCTTCAGACGGCTGGATAAAATCTTGCATTGGGCTGGATTAGCCTCGTGGGTTGTAGTTTGGAGACCCATGCTGTAAAAGAAGATACTATATACTTACCTAGTTCAGAATCTTCCCTCTGCTGCAGAACCATCCCAAACAATCTTCACATGCAACACACTTCTGGGCAGGGGCAGACTGACAACTCATGGGGCCCCCGGGCAATAGGGGATCATGTGGCCCCTGTGTCCTTGCCCAAACTCAAAAAAGCCTATGAAAAAGGTACCAGGGGCATCTCTTGGGGCCCCCTTTCGGGCAAGATGCCAAATCTCAGTCCTCCCCTGCTTCTGGGTGTCTCGAATGATTGTGCCCCCCACTCCACCCATTCTATGGTTGCTCCCACAGACTCCTATTTCACTACGAATTTGGCTGGAGGAACCATGGAGTAGGGGTGGTCAGAAAACTTACCGAACACTTACCTCTGGCAGTGTAGGGAGGGTGCCATTGCATTGGTATTTTTTTGTACCCAGAGTTGGGCGTTAACATAGGTCTACCATTCTTGCTAACCGAGAACAATGCTAACAAAATGAAATGTTTATTCTTAGCAGCTGCTCACAAAGGAGTATAAAGCTGGCCATGCACTATGCAATTTGATTGTACATTAATTATACAATATCTTTTAGATGTACAAAAAAATGTTATATGAGAACAATCCTAAACAATCTGTTCCACCTGCATAAATTAGGTGTAACCTGGACAGTGGCTGATAACTGCTCCACTAGTTCTTTCTTTGTTGCTGCTGTATTATTCTTCTGCAGTGTGGACAAGGTTAAACTGAATATTCATTAATGCAGAAGTGCGGCAACTATCTTTTTAGAGAGATCACTTTGCAATGCTCATCTATGGATTGTCTCCCATGCAGGGGACAGCCATCTTGGCAGGGTCTGATTCAATCCTGAAGGAAATTGGCTGACGCAACAAAGCAAGGAAAAGTGAGGTTGGCAGAATGATGAGGAAAGGGGAGAGGAATGTCTGGAAGCAAGCAGGTGTGCGGGGAAATGACTGGGCTGCTGTTGCTTGCTGAACAGAGCCCTGCCATGACTGACCACAATCGGGAGAGACTGTTCATCACGTAGTGAGAGGTGTGATTTAAATGCCTGGTGTGATTGGACTGTACTAGAGAAGTGTCCCACCACTTATTAGAAAGGAAAAGAGGGATTGAAAGCGAGAGATCATAGCAACTTCTATCTCTATCTGACTTGAACTTTACTTTCACAAAGCATGTGTCCGGAGACCCAGAAGGGATGCCCTGGGTCTAGTAAGAGACTAACATCATACAAGGTAGTCTGTTGTTTGCTGTCAACTATTCTGCTTTCTTCAAGGGTCCCAATTTTGCCAACCAACATTTTTTTCATTATTCATTGGCCAGTGTTGCAAAACAGGGACTGTTATTGCAATTTAGGACTCTTTATATACTGTTGCTAGGTAAATGCACATCAGTTCTGTTAATTACTGTTCATTAGAATATGGCAGGTGTTTAACCACATCTCTCAGAGGAACATTATTGTCTTATTGATTGTTTGTATAAGTACACTTGCTAATCCTTTCTTCTTTCAGAATATATTTGGCCTAATACATTTTCTAAAATACCTCAAGGTGTGTTGGTAAGTGCTGGGTGAGTGAGGTGTGTCATCTACAGGCGTGCAGAGAAATTACAAAACATTTCAGTGACTCCTCTGTGGGTAGCACTACACTGGTAAGCCCATGCACTATATAATTGTAGATCAAAAGGTATTGCACAATCAGATTGTAAAGTGTATGGTCAGTTTAAAAGCAGTATTAAACCCAGAATTAAAAAAAAGTTTATATATTGCAGCTTACAATCATTACCTGTGGTGGCTGCAGTAGTTCTCATTTTTAGGCTTTTTCCCTCTATTTTCACCTGGTTATCTGGCTAATAACACACCTCCCATATTAGAATGCTTCCGCTCTGGATGAAGGCACACAGAGGCACCTTTAGACAGCAGCATTGTCAGTCTGCGGAGAGGAGAGTGTTAGATGTACTAGCAGATTTAAAAATAATAAAAAAATTAAAGCCAAACTCAGCTAATACATTATGAGCAATTACAGCAAATGTTTTTTTTAGATAAACATTTTAGATACAGAAATAAAAGCTAATCATTGTAAGCACACCTGTCAGTGTAAAATGGTTTGTCTCATCTCCCTGTAACTGCTACATCTGCAGAACATCTTTTGAAAAACAACAGACTTACTGGCTAGATCAGCAGGTAAAAATAAAAGAAAGTTTCAAAAATAAAACTAATGCAGCCATCCCATCTAAGAATTGGTATGCAGCAATGTAATAAATATTTGCTTTTGGGTTTAATGTTTTAAATGACTGCACTGAAATACAGACTTCCACTAGAGGAAAAAACTGTAGCTGAGCGCCACAAACCAATAGAGCTAGTTGATTCATTTTTAATATTCAAAGCAAAGTCCATCATTCATCCATGTCTTCATGCTTTATTTTGTTGAGTAATCACCCCCTAGCATTTCTGACTGTGGCCATCTTGAGTAAGGGCAGATGATTCATGTAGCAATTACCTCCTGGAATCCATCTGCCGTTAGTTCAGGCAGGAGGGTGTGCTTAGCTGAGAAAACCGTTCCTCCCCTCCTGAAGACTGCTGATATGTATGACATAATTTGCCTAGGCATGGAAACCAGGAAGTTAGTAAAAAAATGTAAAAAATAGCTTAACACAAGTAAATATGATATACTTTCCTATCTATTTTACTAATGCTGGCAGCATAAGGATACAAAATAGTCAATGTTGATTGAGAGAGGGAAGTTCTACTATAATAGACAGTATTATAATCAATTACACAAAATGTAAAAAAGAATATCTGCATTGCAAATACGTTACACAGAAAAAATGTTATAAAGGTGAACATGTGTGCTAAGGACATAAAAAGGCATGAGATGTTCCAAGGACTATGAATGTGTCCTCTTTGATTTGGCAATTCCCTTGTAAGTGCTGTTTCTCTGCCAGTGGTAAACAAATGGAAGAAAATAGAATCCAAGTAAAAGAAAATTGCATGCCTAAAACTGACTGAATAATCTGATACAGAATTTCCCATTCATTGTCTGTACAGGGCTCTACCTACAAGGGTATAATGAATTGACTGACCTGTCGAGGTTTTTCTCTAGAACACACAAGTACACAGCTTAAGTAATTAACAACATAAAACAGATATGGAATAAAATCTCCTCTGAGCATTAGCCCCTTTCACATGGGCCAGATCAGTTTTGCTCAGCAGGGGATCCGTCCGCTAATCCCCTGCTGAGGAGTGTGGAGCGGCTGGATGACAGGTCCATGTCTGTTCCACTTATGCTTAGTGGACACAGACATAGCCCACTCTTTTCTATGGGCAGTCAGATGTAAACGCACTTGTGTCCATTTACACCTGACTGCCCTTCAATCTGATCCAGACAGACAGAGGGGAACGGATCCCCCTTCTGTTTGTGCTTGCTGAATCGGACTGGAAATAAGGTGTAAACAGACACAAGTTTGTTTACATCTGACTGCCCATAGAGAAGAATGGAGGGTCTAGTTGGGTCCGCCTGAAAAATGGACAGGCGGACTTGACTGGACAGGTTGTGTGAAAGGGGCCTAAGAGATAGCTACAAAAAATGTCCTTCTGGAAAGGATTTCACAAAGGGATGCCCGCAGGAGACTCCTAACCTTCAAGAACTTCCTTTAAACAGTCGGGCCGTTAAACCACTGCCTGTAAAGGAGGATGAAAAATGGCTCTTTGAGACAACAAGATGAAAAGGAAGGTACCAGGGAGTGTCTGTGATCCAACAAACTAGGTCTGTGTACCAAGACCAACAAGGACCATCCAGCACCACCAGAATCCTTTCACCTTTGATACTGCAGAGCAGACAAGGTTGGAATCTTTCTCAGAAGAAAAGCATAAATCAGATCAGTCCCCCTGAGACACCAGAGCATCCTTCATGACCCTTGCTATGGTTTAGGGTGTTCCCAAATGCTCTTCAAAGCATAAAAGGGCTCCAGAGGGACCCAGAGCAGAAAGGCAAGGAAGCATTGGGGTTTATTTACTAAAGCTGGAGAGTCCAAAATCAGACTCCCTTCTGCATAGAAACCACTCGGCTTCTAACCTCAGCTTGTTCAATGAAGCTTTGGCAATGAAACTTGGAAGCTGATTGGTTTCTATGCAGAAGTGAGTCTGATTTTGCACTCTCCAGCTTTAGTAAATAAACCCCATTATGTCTTTCATCCCTAGGGTTATCTCACAAAGCTACCATGCAGCACAAAATCCAAGAAGAGTGCTGCTCTAGGTTGGTCTAAATTTAGGTTGTCACACAGAGCATGATAAAAAAAAACTCCCTGAAAAGGGTAGAAAATATTAGAAACCTCCCTGGAGGACATAACAGTAAGCATAGTCCCCTCAACCAAGGTGGACCACTAAAGTGTGCCCCATGAGAGAGGGAAACATTATACACCACATACAGAATGGGGTGAGATGAAAACAATGGGGAAGACTCTCCATTTACCACACTGATTACCAGGTCAAGATATCAGGCTTGAATACTGTCACAGGAGAGATGAACAAAAAACTTGGCACTTCAGTGCTCAAATATGGTGGAGACCCCCATCTGCTACTGCAAAGTTATGCCAAAATCAAGCAATCCAGACTGGAAGGGTAGGCGGTGCAAATCAGGGAAATTCAACACTAAACAAGGAACAAAACGGAAAGGGTGAAAATGTCTAATGCGTTATCTAGAACACTTTATTAAGTAAAGCAAATAAAAATATACTCGCAAGCCTGGCTAACGGCATGTAAAACACAAAAGGTATGGAATGCAATTGTCCGCTAACAAGCTCCAACTTGTAAAAGGATGACTGAGCCAGCTGACATGTTTCGGGGAACTTGCCCCCTTCTTCAGAGCTATAGCTCCTGTGACAGTAAACAAAAAACAAAACAGAAAGGGTGCAAACACCTAGTGCATTATCTACTGTACAGCCCATTATTCTAACTCTTTTAGTCAAAGCTGAGTTTATAGCAGAGTGAAGGAATTTATCCCCAGGAGGAGCTGTCCCTAGGTTGTGCTTTTGTTTTTTACCTAGTGTCCTACTCTTGCAGGTAGCAGCATAACCCAGTCATAAAGAATAAATTAAACATAATTGAATCGAAGTATTACAAATCACCATGTAAAGTACATAACTGAATACTAATTATAATTTATAGATCCAGGGAATATCCAATTGCCTCTTGGGGGATCAGGAAGGAAGTTATTTCCCTGCAGGAGCAAACTGGATCATGCT